TCTTTCAACTCTTTTAATTCTACAAGAGCCATTCTATAAGGAGCTTTAGAAATAGGGCTAGTTCCTGGAACTAAATCAATAGAGAAATCAATCTCCCTATTAGAAGGTAAACCAAGTAAATCTTCAAAAAAAATATCAAAAAATTCCCTCACAATAAGAATCTCTTAAATCATCAACTCCTTCATTCTAGTGTTTGTAACAGCTGCCAAAAATCCATTGCAACCATTAGTAAGTAATCGCCTAGCTTTCAAAATAGAGATAACTCACAAAGAAGTGTAAGTACCACTACCATGGAAACAAAAAGGTGTTTCCCCAAGAATCTCAAAGTCCACCCTTTTCCTTCGACAGTCACCTTAAGCAAAATTTGTAGCTAACCAATCCATCCTCAAAATTACATCAAAATCTTGCCTATCTAAGACATGAAAATCTGCTAGCACTTCTTTGTCGTCAATTCTTATCACACACATCTTACAAATCTGATCTGAGATAAATTCACCTCTAACCGGAGTGTCTACGCATAGTCCATAATCTAAAAGCATACAAGGTAAAGCAAACTTTTGAACAAATGTAGTAGATACAAAAGAATGAGATGCACTCGTATCAAACAACACATGAGCAAAAGCTAAGGCAACTAGTAGTGTACTTGAGACAATGGTGTTGGATGCCTCTACATCTAACTGAGTGATAGCATAGGCACGCCCCTGGGTGTGAGGTCTTCCTACTTTTTGATGTCCAAAAGAAGGTGCCTGCATAGTCTAAACAACATGAGTGGGCTTAGTCCTTTGCACTGCAGTTTCAAAGGTTTGAGAGTTTTGTGACCTTTGCACAAATTAAGATTCTTGAAAGACTAAGGGACAATCAGCAATAAGATGGCCTTATTAGCCACATCTAAAACAAGCACCAGTAACACGTCTACATTTAGCAGCTCGATGTGCTCCACCACACACTAAACACATAAGCCCCTATTGGGATGTTTTGTCATGGTATGATTGAGTTCCCTTAGGAGGAAGTCTATCCTTAAAAGTAGCAAAAGCTCAAGACTTTTCAATAGCTTGAAATTTAAAAGGACTATTAAAAACTCTCTTACCTTGAAAGTTTGAATCTCTACCCCTTTTTTTAAAAAAATCCCTATTTAACTCTTGAGTCTCTCTCCATACAACATTCAAGGATTTTGCCCTACCAACCACTTCATTGTAGCTAATCAAATGCAATAGAGCTAAGCCTCTGCGAATGTAAGCATTCAAACTGGTTTCAAACCTCCTGGCTCTACTCTCATCATCAAAAACTAAAGCAATGGCAAACTTGGGCAACCGATCAAACTCAGCCTCATAAACATATATTGTCATACTACCTTGAATAAGATTAAGGAACTCCCTGTCCAACTATAACAGCTTGCTCCAAGAAAAATACTTGGCATAAAAGGCAGTGCAAAAATTTTCTCAGTTAAAGAATTTAGGGTCATTCTCATGGATGCGCGCTACTCCTTTTCCACCAATTATGTGCACTTTCTTACAATAGATAGATTGCAAATCTAACCTGGTCTTGATCACTGGAACGCATGGCATTAAAAGGTTTTTTCATCTCCTTAATCCATAATTCTGCATCATTAGGGTTTATGGAACCTTTGAAAGGAAGACAGGCTATCTTCTTAAATCCACCCAAAGTTTTTTACTCAGTAGAATTATCAACCTGTTGGACTGGTTGTAGACGTTATCGTTACTCTTTAACCAAACCAGCTACCTCCTGGATTAAGTTCAGCACTCTGTCATCATTTTCAACCATAAAAATCTCGTGTCCCCTTGATCAAGTTAACAAGAGGTTGGTTAATTTCAACAGCCATCTGAGCATATGATGCCTCCACATCATTTTGATTTTGGTTTGGAGGATTTTGAATTGTCTCAGAATGAGAACTCCTTGCACCAACAAATCTAGCACGAGCCACTAGTTCGGCGAGATTAGGCTCGCGGTCTCGACGATGAGGCATATTGATTTTTCGTAACTAGAAAAACTAACATTAACAATTTTTTTTTAAACTTTAACATAAAGCAATCATAAAAGTAAAACAAACATGAATAATGGAAAAACGTCTCAATCTTATTTTTTTTACCCATTTCTCGAATCTCGCATAAGTGTCAAGACTACATAATTATACTTAACTTGGCTCTGATACCACTTGTAACGATCGAAGTTCAACTATTGGCTCAACAGCTTTTTGGACCTAAATCACATGACCCTCAAAAACTTAAGCTCAAGTTGTTAGTAGTGATAGACTTGGATTATTATATAGATCTTAACAATCACATTCACATCAAATGTGAGATGTTGGGTATCACCATCCTACCTACTTAAATCCTTAATGTCCTCATCAAGGTCACACATCACATCTACATGACCAAGATCTCACTAGAGCAATGTGAAAGCTCACATCGGACTAGCTCAGGTTCTGATACCATTTGTAATGCCCCAAGTCCAACCACTGGTTCAGCAACCTTTTGGACCTAAACCACGTGGCTTTCAAAGAAACGATCAAAAATGTTACTGGAATATAGAGTTTCGGTGACTCAAAGTTGGCTTATCAAAACTATCGAAAATCAAGTTCTCACTTAATTTTAAAAATTTATAACTTCCAAACCACAAAATCAAACGAGATACTACAAAAACCATTGGAAAGATATTTTTAAGACCTTTCCATTGATACCTATCATGCCACTAGAAAGTCATCGGAGAAGTACCGAGTTTTGAATAAAATTTAAGAAAGTATAAATAATTTAAGGCTTTTCAACCTTAAACATACCTTAATTAGCAATCCCTTGAATAATTTTTCTTTTCCTCTATCTTTCCTTTTCCCTGATATTATGCTCTTCTGACTGCTTATCATTTGAGTCTGAAGAATTCACTAACGTGAGTTTCCTATCTGTTCTTTTAAAACCTAATCCCACTAAATTAAACGTGATAATAAAACTGACTTTAACCCCACTAACTTAAACGTGATAAATAAACTGACTTTAATTAAACTTCTTTATTCACTTAAAGACCCCTTCTTCTATTTTTTAATTATTTAGGCACTCAAAATCATAACTGTAAATAAATAAAATACTAAAACAATATCTACTTATTTATCAAACTATAGCTTAAATAATCTAAATATTTTTATAATATATATTTTGTGAAGGGCATCACAACAAATAATGACAATATTTGAAAAATTAGTACCAGCTTTGAAAGGACAAGAGATAGAATAGAAAGTCGAATATGGGTATGGGTTGTGGGATATGAGTGGGAAAGTTGTGTGGAATTTAGTGATACAAGAAATGCATCAGGACACCTTTCCCTTCCCATCTTTTCTCACTAGTATGTCTCTATCAAATCAGGTATAGTGCTACAACTTGTCCATAAGCTATGCTACATCCAATACTAAATCTTTTAAATTAATGCCAATCAAATTAAATATAATTATACCAAAATTATTAATGTAGTGACGCCTTTGTTTCTAGAATAACTCTATTTTATTTGATGCTCGGAGGATAGTTCATAAGTATTTATGATTAGTATGACAATAAATGAATAACAAATTCAATAACATTTATTTTTGGTATTAGTCAAACAATCAAACCGAAGATATTTCAACATTCTTTTAGTTTTTCTTTTTTATTATTACTTATATATATATTTCGTGGGAACAAATTAAACTTTATTTTTGTTTTCATTTTAATTATATTAATTTCAAATCGGAAGAAATTCATAGCGTCATGTTTCCTCATTGCAAAACTACATTAGAATATTTACAAATTAATTTTTTGAATAAATTTCACTAATCTCTTTTATGATTTTAACTTTTTTCATATTATATTATGTGATTTCTTTTTTTTTCAATTAGTATTCTGTGGATATAATTTTTCTAATTAATACCCTATGAATAACTTTGTTCTCAGGTTATTAATTTTGTATAATAAAATTACAAAAGTACCAAATTATTTAAAGTTAACTTTTTTGTTCACATTTTAAGATATTTTTATAATTTTATTAAGTAAAATTAAATCCCTTTTAAAAACAAAAGTTATATAAAATTCAAATCTCCTTTATTCAAATAAAAAAAATAAAATGCATTTCAATCATTTAATGCATTGAAAAAGAAAAGCATTTCTAGTATATTAGATTCCATTTAGTGATGAAAGAAAAAGGGTAATAATTATGTCATGTTAGTCAATGACATTGGCCAATAAAAAAAGGACATTTATTTATTTCTTACTTTGATAACAAAGGAATGAAAGTGCATGATAGGAAACGTTTTTGAGACTCTTTTACTAGCAATTTTCCATAAAATAAAAGAAAGGAAAAGATGCAATGCATGTAGGTGTGTATAATTAATTGGTTTAGGTATAACAAAATGGGGGTGGCATTATCAATCATGCTTTTACCTTACCGACCAACAATCCCATGTGCATTACGCGGATTGCGGTGGCACTTTCCCACTACTTTGCCCATCCATCTGCTTTCATCCTTTCATCTCAGCCGTTCAATTAATTCAAACAAATTGCTGACGGCTTTGGGTTTGTTCAGGTCAATAATTCTCACGTGAATGGGACCCACCATTACAATTAAATTAACCTCCTGTTTTCTTTCTTTAATTTCCACGTCTTTGTATTATTGTTTTCAAACCAGATAGATCCAAATATTAAGAAAATCAATTTTATATTTTTTTAAATTAAAAAAAGAATTTAAATTTTATTTTTTAAATAAAAAATTATACATTAATCATTAAATTAGATACTCAAATATAAATTAACTATATATTTATGATCAAAATACCAGTCATTTCTAGATCAATTTCATTTTTTTATTTTATATTTTAAACCCTTGTATAACATAAGGAAGATAAACATTTAATAAAACATAAAAGCTCATAAAATTTAAAAGAACATCGTGATGGAAGTCACGTTAATATTTGGAAATTCAAATAGTCTACCGTCCTTGACCCAAAATTAATTAAAATGCGATGTCAATGTATCAATTATTTTGAAAATATCTGATAAAATTAAAATGATATAAAAAATTATATTACGTAAATACTCTTTAAAAAAATGATAATTTTGAAAATTGAACTGTAGTAATGAACATGTAATAAAAAAAGTTTTACCTCTCAGTCTAATTAAATGAATACACGGCAGGATTTAAACGGTAACTTCAGGAACCGTAAAACTTAAGACAAAAGGTCAACAAGAGGCGGACACGGTTTATAGATCTACCAAGAGCCAACAAGGATGGTTGACCCACCTGCCCCGCGCAGGCCGTACAGTGTATATCAATATGCATATTTCTGTCAAAGTTCTTGCTTCGGATAGACCTAACCTTATCCTCGTTGCCCGAACCTAACAGCTCCGGTCCACCCGCCCTATATAAGGGCCCTTCCACTATCCCCTGCCTTTCCAAGCTGAAGCTTTCACAAAGTTCATCAGAAATTTGGAAGAATTTTCGGTTACGCCACTCAAAGGTACTTATTAAATTAAATCTCTCAAAAATTTGATCAGATTTTAAGAGTTTTTAATTTTCTTTGATCTGTTGTTTGGTTGGTAAGAAAGTGAAAGAAAAGGGCGAGAAAAGGAGTGCAAAATAAAAGCAAATTTAGTTTTTAAGAAACGAGATGTGAGTTCTTCGTGTCCATCGTTTCCTCTGTAAACAAACAGAAATGTGATCTTAAAGATCTTTGAGCTTACATGATTTTGTAATTGCAATGTAATTTACTGTCGTGAGTAGATAGAGTGATCATTGACAGTGATGATTTGAAACTATGATTGAATAATTTGTTTTCTTTTTTGTTTTTTAATTTAATTTTGTGTTTTAATAAAGGAAGGGATTGATGGAGTCTTTTTCTTTTGTCGATCTTTGGATTACTTTTCTGGTATTTTGAGAAGTGATCTGATCGCTGAACTCTATAAATGATTTTCAATGTTCAGAAAAGCTTTAGACTGAAATGACTATCGATAACAGCTCTACTACAGAGATTGACTTTGTATTTGTTAGAGTAAATGATTATTAGATGATAATACAGTCTACTTTTGGAAATGTTACAGATATGTAGGAAAGTGGTTGGTTACTCTTATTATCAATGGTCTGATTTTCATATATTTTGCATTCCAGCTGGTCATGAATGATCAGATCTATCAAAATTACTTATTGAAATCAGTTGTGAAGTCAGAGGGGGATAAAAGTCTTCATTTTGATTATTTAAGCTAATGTGGTTTTGTTGTTTAACATGGCAGAGTCAAGTTAAGTAGTTAGGAGTATGTAGATCTTGAATTGTTTTAATCATAAAAAACCTGGACTTCTCATTATCTTTTTCTTTTTTTAAACTTTAATTATCTGTTCATTTGTTGATTTGGTTTAAATTGTTGTATATTTACAGTATTGAATCAAAGGGATTGAAAGAATGGCCCTAGTTGCGGGAGGAAGGTCAACATTGAACCCCAATGCCCCTCTGTTTATTCCTGCTGTTTATCGCCAAGTGGAGGATTTCTCACCAGAATGGTGGCAACTGGTTACAACATCAACATGGTACCGAGACTATTGGCTCAGCCAGCACCAAGATGAGGATGGTTTCTATGACAATGCCGAAGATGATGGCTTTGATGGCAATGACATTGCGGATTTGCTTCCAGATACCTTTGATCTTATTGCTGATGAAGATCTCTCTGGTATGGATCTTCAGTTTGAAGAGTTCATCCAGTCTTACGGGACTGAAATGGAAAGCACATCACCCCCTTTACCGTCTAATGGAGGTATGAATAAGCTTTGGAAATAGAGAATTATGTGCATTTTCCATTTTTAACGATGTTAATGATTCTTTTCAGAAGCAAAAGAAAATGTTGTGAACTTATATTTTATTGTTTTGTTGCATAAAATAGGGTTTGAGAAGGATACTGAAACTCTGATGAAGAATCTGAGTTTGTTGCAATCGAGTCCTAGGTCTTCATCAGTGCCAGCGAAGTATGCTGAGAAGCCAGCCAAGAGTGTGAACCCTAAATACAGCCCCCGTTGCATCCAGCAGCCCCGCTGAAAGAGTCTCTATACCTTGCAGGTTACGATCTGTTAAGAACCACCGTAGTATAGTTTGCAGTTAGCATAACCGTAACATCTGTATAGAGCAAGGGTATAACTCTTGTATCAATCCTTGTTCATTCTCCTGTATTTGCTTTTAGTTAACAGAAAATGAAAGAACAAAAGTGTAAAAATAATAATAATAATAATTGTAAAATTTTAGAAAAAAAAATGGGAATTTACCTTTCGTCATCTCTCACTGAATCTCTTTTATGTATTTATCGTGCAGTCTGTGCCCATATGAATGGAAAGGAAACAGCAAAAGTTGTCCCAAAGACTGCTAAGAAACAAGTTAGATACACAGATTGCGTAAATCTCATAACACAGAATCAACCAAATGGTACATTGAACACTTGATATACTTCGTTCTAATATTAAAATCAGATCCAATAAAAAATTCTTCTTTCAATTAGGGGATCAATACATTTCCGCACACTCTGTAGTTAAACCTAGTAAACTTGAGTTTAGATAAGCCAGGATTCAATTCCCCTATCTGTATCATGTCACTGACAAAGACTATAAAGACTTTGTACTATAACTAATCCACTTCAAGCAGAAACCTCAGAAAGGTAGTCTGTACTTTGCATCAATTTTTTTTTTTCCCTTTTCTGGGACTCGACTTTACTTTGGTTGCCAATGCATCAGATATCGCTTTTGGTAGCCAAAACCCAGGTCTTTCAAGAAATGGTGCTCGGTCAGAACTAATGGCTCTCTCAAGGTTATCTCAATGCCATCATATGTCCATAATGCCAATGTTGCTTCACCCTTGAGGCCCAAGGAGAACCAACCTAAGCCAGCCGCTGCAATGTCGATGCTGTTCGCATCCCAACTACTTCCAGACACTTTAACTTCCCTCTCTTCCCATTTGCCTAATTCAGATGCTCGGTCTTCACCAATGGGTGGTGAAGAATAAGTAAAATGCAGTCCATATTAGGGTTTTTTTCATGTCATAACTGTAGTTGTATAGGAAAATGCTGTTAAAAAGGAAAAGGTCATCTCCATAGCAACAAATTTTGTATTTAAGTCACAAAAATTTCTCTCAAGTAAAACTACAGGGAAAAATAACACGAATAATTGCTTAAACTGGGCACAAGTTTCCCAGTAATCTCGTACGGCAATCAAGGTCTTCTGTTGGACACAGGGTAACTCCCAAAAAACCCTTCTCTATTTAAAAGTGAAATTTCCTTAATCTTGGTTTTCAGATAAACCAGACTTCAGGAAATTAATCTGACCACTTTCCCCCATCTAGCCCACGAAACACCCCTTCGGAGCTGCTTCTACCCTGGTTTTCAAGCCTTTAGAACAACATCTTTGTTTTCTATTGAAAAAAGAATTCATTAAAAGGCCACTAATCCCATCCAACTTGCAAAATGTTTTCCCCTACTTTCCAGGAAAACAAAGAAACTAGAAGCACAAACGAAGACCGAATATTTCCTTACTGATATTCTTCCACTTCGCTTTTATGATGACACTAGTTCAAGTTCTTTAAACACCATATAGAATGAGTTCAGCTCCTTAAAGACAATTCAAGAGTCTATTGGTTTAGAATCGCATATTAGCAGCAGTTAGTGCAACACGACAATCAATGCAAGTGAAAAGAAACTAACAATCACCAATTGAAAGGTCTGTGACAACCTGATTAGCATAACATAGAACACTAAATGCCAAAGAGAATGAGATAAAAGTAAACAACAATATTTGTGCACATAAATTTTAAGAACATTTTTCCAAACAAAATTTACCTGCAACCTGATACCAACATGATTGTTCCGTATTTCATCAGCATTTTCTACCTTCCCCAAGTGCAGAGAAATATTTGGTGATGCCCAAATTGTAACATAAATTGTCTCTGCCGAAGCATGATTAAGATCTAGCCTCATCAACCCACCAACATGGACAGCCTGCCCCACCTGCAAACTTTCAAAGATCTGAAGCATTAGACTTAACAATGTCCCAAATTTAGTTGCATCACTACCTTAAAATATTACAAGCTTGAGACAACAAAAGAGTAGAAATTTCATTATTGTATACAACAATCAATTGAAGCTAAGATAAAAACAAAGAGGTGAACACCAAAAATTCAAGGACATCCTAATTCTTCTTATATATAACATTAAAATTTTCTGCATAGATTGACAAACTGTTCAGCTAAGGAAGTTCAGGCGCAAGTGACCTAAGTATAGCAGCAAAACAATTGTAAAATCTATTAGAATAATCTAGAGTCCTTCTCCCCTGCTTCATTCTCTTACAAGCATACGCATCAAAAGATTTGAATAACTGATTGCTGCCCATCAAGAGATATATAGACTCTAGCACTAGATTTGGCCCCTCAAACAAATTATGCTGTAAATCTTATAACGTTATTTCATCTTGCTATAAATTAGCACGATAGAAGTTAAATTTAAGTGCATTTGGAAAAAGGTTAGGATAGTGCCGAATGAAGAAAAAATGAAGGAGACTTGAGACATATTTCAGGTATTTGGACGTGAAGAGAATGTCGACAAATTCCTTATAAGAGTAAATGATTTGGCCTGTCAAACAGATTAAGATGTCCATCTCATAAAACTAATTTCATCTTGTTGTAAACCAGCATGATAGACAGTTAGAAATGAGCACATTTGGGAAAAGGTGAGCACAATGGTGATAGTTGGAAGAAACTTACCTTCACTCTGTATGTCCGAGGTTTTAGCTCCTTTCGTATTTCAACCATCTTCTGCTCATCTCTATTTAATCTCATAGACATTAGATATGGATGTAGGAGCCCTGGAGTGTCATACATTTTTGCCTTGGCTGACAAAATCCCCCCAATTCGCAAAATCCCAAGAGTTGTCCCAGGAACAGGAGCTTCAGTAAGCCTTGTCGTATTTGCCTTTTCCTTCTTTGCAAATGCATTGATTAGAGTAGACTTCCCTGCATTTTGAGCCCCAATAACCCACACATTTCCTCGAGGACCTGCTAACTCCTTTATGAATGACAACAAATTCTTTACACCCAAATCCTTACGGGAACTAACCAAATATACCCCATTAAGCTTGGGTGCTCCTCCAGCCTTAGCTCGGTGCCTAACCCATCTGTCTAACCTAGTAGGTGAGATTTGTGACGGGAGAAGATCAACCTTTGTAGCCACAAGAACCA